CCCCAAAACCCCAAAACCCCTTTAATAAAAATTTAGGCATATATTTTGATATAAATTCAGTAATTTAATCTAATAAATAAATCACTATTAATACATATGGAGAAGATAGCATCGATGATTAAGGGATTATCATTGAGTAGAAAAGATTAAAAATACACTGAGGAGGAATTTTAAAAATCTAGGCTACAAGAATTGCAGATTCTAATTAAGCCTCTTTATTAAATAAGCATATATGGTTCGTTGCCACTAATATTTCACAGAGCCTTCATAGAAGAATATAGAGGATTTTATCATAATTATGTTATGTCTTAATTGGTACTATTGGTCTATGTAATTATGTATAAACTAGGGTAATACATGCCAAAGCGTTATGATATACTCAACATATTATTAATAATTACGCTATCATATCTGTCTTCTAAAAAGGTAACTTCCGCATCCCCTGATAAATTTATTCCTAACACAGTACTAATACTTCAAATGTTCCAAAATTTATTTGTTTCACTATATTCAACTTTAGAGTGGTATTAAATGTCTCTTATATAACTAGGGATATTCATTTTGTACATAGTGGTATGGTCTATCAAATATGGATTTCAAAATCTACCATCTGATGTCTTTGTTCACTTTAGTTTTTGCTATGCAATGCTTGTAAGTCTAGTAAGGAAAAAAGAAATGAATGATAGAAGAAACTTTAAATTGTGGAAAAAAGTAAACAAATACAAAGAGAAACTTCACAAAATACTATTTCTATTGCATGAGGGTGTGCTAATAATAAATTCTAAAGAATAATGCAATAGGATCATATATCATAATAAAGCCTTAGTAAAAATATTCAAAGGATTTTCAAATCTTTTAGAAGAGTAAAACATTAAATATTCCTTCGATCTCCTAAATTCTGAACAAGATAATAACAATTAAAATAGCACTACAACAAGCAAGCAAAAGCCAAATCAAATTTATATGACTTTGGATGATCTTAGTGCTGGTATATCTATTTAGGAGGAATTTAAATCTGATAAGAAGTTGAATTAAACTCTCTTGAGTTTCATTGAAAAAATTAGAAAGAATATCAGTAAATCAACTGCTCAATAAAAGTTCTATATTAAGATTCAACCAATCAACATTTCAATTGAAATCAACATAGTCTAGTTTGAGCAAGATTCATAGATTCTTCTTCTATTCAAAGAAATAGGTGCCTTTAAAAAACTTCAAAAATCTAAGACTAGAGAATAGTTCACAAATGTTTTCATTAACTCAACAGCTCATAATATTTTTACGCCCATAAATGGAATGATTGGAGTACAGTAATTACTAGAAAGGACTGTATCTGGTAATAGAGAGGCTATGCAATACTGTAATTTAATGAATATTTGCCTGTAAAATCTTATCTTCAATACTAAAAACATTATTGAGCTTTCTAAAATTCGACTTAAGAAATCTGTTTAAAAACTAGAGGAAATCAAATTAGATTCAGTACTGAATGAGATCACTAATTTATTCAGCTAAGAAATATCTATGAAGTAGATTCAAATTAATAAGTCAATATAAAGTGTCATTCTAAATAATAATCTACTCATAGACCATGAGAAACTTAGTCTTGTTCTTTTCAACATTCTCAGCAATGCTTTCAAGTATACCTAATCAGGTTTTATTGCACTATCTGCAAAAGTAGTTACTTATAGAGAACTTCAATTAAAGATACTGGAAGAATAAGACGAAAGTGTGGAATATGACTTAGGATCAAATCTGAATGACAATTCTATTTTGATCCAATCATCTCCTAGTAGTCAATAGCTCGATGATTACAGATAATAGTGCATTCAATCTATTTTAAAGAATGGCTCAATGGGTATGCAGTATCTTTCATTTAGCGTAATTGACACAGGGATAGGAATGGACTAGACCAATACAAGGTAACTATTTAATCTATTTGGGAAAGTAAAGCTTTCAGATGAACAAATTAGCTAGCAAGGAATGGGTCTAGGTCTGACAGTTTCTAACTTAATTTGTGAGGATCTAGGAGGTAAACTTTTCCTTGAATGGACTTTGCCTGGTAAAGGATCCAAATTTTAACTTTATCTACCTGTTCAAATTAACAACGATTAAAGTAGTCAGTTCTTGTTTTTCAATCAATCTTTTACTGAAGAATCAAAATACTCTTTTATCGAAAGACCAAATACAGATTACAGAGAAAATTTAGATTTGGCAGACATTGATGATTTAGAACCATAAATCAGAGAAAAATATTTGATGGAATTACAACCAGTTTTTTCAAGAAAGCTAGCCTTAAATAGCAGTTTAGAAAATATCAATACCAACTTTATATTGACCAATAGGAGTTAAATGAGAGATAGCATAATTGAGAAGTACCCTTCTATTTTAGTAGTTGATGATTGCGCGTTCAACATTGATATTCTCTCAATGATGCTTCATCAACTATTTGACTTGAAAATTGATTTTGCTATGTCAGGACATGATGCAATAAAAAAGGTTAAAAGCAGACTATTCTTGAGTTAGACAGATAATAGAATATAAATGTATAAACTTATCATCATGGATATAAACATGCCAGTAATGGATGGAGTTGAAGCTACTAAAAATATTAAGTAACAATTTCAGTTTTGCAATCAATATGCTAAGATAGTCGCTCACTCAGCGATGCCAGAAGAATAGTTTAGGACTAATGCTGAAAGATGGTTTGATGGATTTTTGTAAAAACCGCTAAATTCTACTAAGCTACATGAGATTTTAATCGATGCTAAAATCAAGTCTTGAATCAAAAATAGGAAATTATGATATCAAGAATTAAATTGCTTTTGACTAAAATATTTACACATTATTTATTCACAATCAATTCTATTTTTATGATTTTTATTGAGAGGGGTTTTGGGGTTTTGGGG